AAACTTAAAAAAAATAAGTACAAATTTGAAAAGGGAGTTAAAACTTTTTAGATTTTAATTTTCAGGTTGATGCTCGGGTTGAAAAATGGTTAACAGTTAATAAATGGATTATAACTACTGCATAAATATGATTTACAACCATAAAGGTGCATAAAAACATGAACAGCATCAGTGGGTTAAGATTGTAAAATTGGAAATAAGAAAATCCCATATTAATTTTCAAAAAGAAAAATCAATTTCAATAATTTTACTCGAATAATTTCTGAATTTGTCATTAAGTAATTGTTTAATCTTCAGATAATGTTTTATCGTGCACGTGCGAACTGTTTCAAAATTAAATTAGGCCTATGATGGAATTCAATCCACTATAAGCTATAGTTACACTACACTTTCTTTTTATTACATTCACGTTATTTTTAATGACAGCATTTTTTTTTTTTTTTTTTTAGTTTAATAACTTTATAAAGTTAAGCACTACAAAATGTAACTGGAAAATAAGCCATAGATTAAGATCATATTTTTGTTACAAAAAATACCTGTTATTTTCGATGTTATTAGTGATTTATGTTTGTGTATTGCATGCCAAATATGTTTTTAATAAAGTTTTGTCATTTTTTATGGTGACTCCTGTTCTTTTTTCCTTGTAAGAAATATTGAATTATATCCATGTATATTATAATAATTCAATACAAGTAACTGCGCTGTCACGTGGTTCCTATTACTTTTCTCAGCGCTGATTGTTTGCGATTAACGTTACATTAAAAAAAAAACTTCACAGAGAGAGTGGATTCCCATTTGTTTATTAAATAAATAAAATCCCTTAAAAGCTATTTACACTATTTTAAAACGTGAAAATATTGGTGATTTTTAAATAAATATTTGAATGCGTCTCAAAGGAGGATTGGTGTTTCTCCAGCGCCCCCTGGAGGAAGCTTATGAACGCTACGCCTCACAGGAAACAGCCCCGCCCCTTCACGATCACGTGACACAAACAGACCTCTAGCTGGCTATGTACGTAACGCTGACACACTTCATGACAGCAGAGGTTATGGTTATATCATACTGATCTACACCAAACTTCAGCTAACATCTTTTATGAGTCCCGCAGACACCGACATTGGCATGAAACCTCTTAAACCTTTTCTTCTGCTCAGATCCTAGTGTCAGACTCGAGTAGTGGAGGAGAAATCGTGTTTGGAGGAAACTCGGACAGTGAGATCCAGTAAGTATGTCTGCCGTCATTCCCAGTAACGTTAGCGCGTGCGTGTGTAGTCGAGCACTGCAACTCTTAAAACGCGATACCTGTTGGTGGAAACTTTACATTTCATACAATATATGACACGTCGTGTAGTTTCAGGCCTTGTAATGATGGATGATTATATCTGACAGCACTTTGTCACTACTTTATTTCTGGCAGTACTTTAAGTATTGTAACCTATGTGTGTAACGTTATTTAATTTGGACTCTTATTATTTTTCTCACCAGGTCTGCTTTTAAATATGTCCTGTTCATGCCGACCTGCAGCGAGGGTGATTTTAAAGTCAGTTCATAAAGGTGAGTCAAACACACACACACACACACACACACACACAAAACTGTTAAAGTACATTTATCTGTGGCCCTGAAGCCCAACTACCAGTATTTTTCTTTTTCTTATTGACAACCAGGGTGTTTACTAACAACAACAACAACCCTGCATACAAAGTAAAATGAGCAAATACAAATGTTTTGGGGACATCATGTGTTTACTTGACATATATTGTCAATTTTCAATTTTAATTTCAATTTATTTATAGAGCACAGATAAACACAACTTCCGTTGACCTAAGTGTTGTACACAGGGAAAAATAAAAATTAAAATAAAATCAGCCACAGGGCAATTGCGTCCACATTTAGTTTGCATACGACAGGTCAAATAAAAACGTCTTTAATCTCACTTTAAAAACCTAGTCAAAACCTAGTGAGCTGCCTACCTAAAACATAAAACATACCTAACATAAAATCGACAGCTTAATATATGATTAAAGGAGTGAGTATATGTATATCATGGTATTTTGAGGCATTACTGCGCTCCATCATTCAGTTCACAGTATTTTTGAGCATTATCACGTCCTAACATTTAATAGGGTCTAATTCTATTGATTTTATATTTGTTGTTTTCACGATAGTTATGTTTTTATGACCTGTGTCTGAGATGATGGTTGTGACATCAATAACATACAAGTACACCTATTTTTAGACTGGTTTAAACAACATTGTAATACGAAGTACACTTTAGCATACTTAAAAAAAAAGAGTATTTGTTTTGGAAATAACATGCAGTGTGTGAACTAAATGTAAAAATAAATGTTTGGACACTTACAATTAAATGAAATTGCATTATAGTTCAAATCTATAGCTGTTTTTGACCCACTTTAGATTGAAATATCTTTATATATAAATATATATATATTCATTACTGTTATTTTCTCTAAAATATGGTTAAAGGACCGTAACCTTGATTTAAAATTAATTTTAAAGTAAAACGATTCATTTGATTTTACAAAGTGCAAAGTGTGTTAAGATATGGCAAGCCGTTTTAGCTTAAATTGTACCCAGCCTTTCTTCTTGTAATTTAATTTGTACTAGTAGTAATTACAATTACAGAGCTCTCTAACTCAATTCTTACTAGTAAAAATACAATTAGAGAGCTCT